TCCCAAATGGCATCGGGTGCTGGCCCCGTTGTTGGTTGCTCGGTCTCTTGCTCGGTCTCGGTTGCAGGTGTCTTGGAGCCTCTCACTTGGGAAAAATTGCTGTTTTGTTTTTTTTTTTCCTTCCTGCTGCACATAAACATTTTGCTTAGTATTTGTTTTCTTAGAGGAAAGCCTTTTCCCCATCGCAGGGGAGCGACGCCGCGGTGAAGTGGCGAGGAGATGCTCCAGCTGGGGTCGTCCCTCCTCGCCCTGCACCGGTGCGCTGGGGACAGGGACAGGGACGGGGACAGCCCCGGGGCTCTTGCTGCTGGTTCCCAGCCTGACCCTTGCATTTTGAAGCAAGTGTTGCAATCCGAAACTTGCAGCCCCGGCGCGGTGGCGTGGAAGCGAAAGCACTCTGGGCTGAGCGGGTCTTAAAAAACAAACCCCGGGACGCTCAGTGCTCGTTTTTCCATTCTGCTGAGCCACGCCGTGACTTTTAGCAACGGGCAATAAAAAAGTTGGAGAGAACAGAGGCGGAATTTTTTTTTTCCTCCTTTTTTTCCTAAACTGATGCTGAGATGCCGAATGGCGCGGGATGGGAGCAGCGAGCGAAACCAGCCCTTCGGTCACTGCAGGGGAGCACTGTGCTCGGCGGCTCCGTGCTGTGCCCACGCTCTGCAGCCTGCACCCGGGGTGCTCGGGGCAGGGGGAGCTGCCCCTGGGTCCCCATTGTGGGGACAGGTTCGGTGACAGCAGCGCGTGCGACCCCGTGCGCCCTAGGGCAGGGTCCGACACGGCCGGGATGTGCCCGGGGCTTAAAACCACAGCCTCACTTCTCCCTTCTTGCGAAATCCTCTTTTAGAGTGAAGCGTGGGGTTTGGTTTTATTATTATTTTTATTATTTATTATTTTTTTTCCCCCCCTCTCCTTCCCAGCTGCTCGGGACACCAGTTCCCGTCGCCCCGTGCCAAGCTGGGACCCCACGAGCCGGGTTCTCGCCCGCCCGTGGGGGGGGATCTGCGGGGCGAAGTTTCCACTTTTGCAGCTGGAAAGTTCCCGGAATGCCGATTTCTAGGAATTGTGGCCCGGGATGGTCGCGCAGCAGGGTTTTGTGAAACTCGAGCACGTGGGATACCTGCCTGTCCTCAGCCCCGGGTCAGACATCTGCGTCCCATTCCCCGCTCTGATTTTTTTCTCCTTTTTCTTCAGGCTGGAAGATAGCGGCAGCTGTGCGGAGAGGGGGGTTGTGAAACCAAAGGGCTTGTTCTTACGGGGTGGATTTCGGTGCGGGGCAGCGCTGGCGTCCTGCCCGTTCTCCTGGGGCGTTGATTTGGTGCTGTGGGGTTTTTGTTTGAGGGAGTTTCTTCGGGATGCTTCCTCCGAACGTCGCGGGCTGTTTGGCGAGCGCACGAGCGGTGCTGCAGGGGAGCGAAGGTGGCCAGCACCCAGGGGTGAAGGCACCCCCCAGCCATGCAGAGCTTAAAAGGAAAGAAAAAAAAAAACACTTTTGTTATGCTTGCTCTTAAATATTCAATAAAAAAATGCATTTTTTGTGAAGCAGCAGCTGAAATAATGCCGGTGAGGGCTGCTGGCGGTGCTGATGTGCCCATGGGTGCCGTCGGCTGCGCTCCTTGGGGAGCAGCACGGAGCTGGGCCCCGGCCGATGCTTCCCCTGCTCGTGTCGATGGGGAAACAACGAGAGCGTGGGGATGAGGAGGGGGCAGAGGCTCTGCTTCTGAGCAGCTCGAGGGTTTTGTGCGGGCGGCAGCTCCTCCTGTCTCACTTTGGGCATCCTGATGTGCGGGGCGTCTCCAGCCCGCGAGCATCCTTGCTTCCTCTTGTTCTGCCAGAAGCTCGTTAGTGTATTTCACGTTAATTAGCGTTTAAGTAGAGGTTGCATCCGGATGCTGAAGCCTCTGGATTTGTCTTGGTTTTAAAACTTGTTTGGTCGAGCTCTTCAAGTAAAGATTTATCAGCGGGGCTACTGGTCAGCTGGTGTAGCAGTGGCTGACCAAAAGCAAGTTAAAAACCCAAACAAACGCTCTGCTTTTAGAGCTCTGCCACTCTGCAGCACCAGGGAAAAAGGGTTTGAGGGGGCTGTTTTTGAGGGCCGGGGTCTGTGGGTGCGCACCGAGCCCCAGTGCTGTGCTCAGAGCTGGGACAGGGTCTCCAGAGCTGTTTTGGGGTTCTCATAGGACTTTTTTTCGGAGCTGCAGTGTGCAGAAGTGCCCTGATGTAGACTCAGGTCATGGTGTGGATCTCTGTGACCCCCTCCCTGTGGTGCCCACCAGATCCCATTTGATCCTCTTTGAGCATCGCTGGCCGGGCACATCCTCGGTGGACCACGGCGCCGGAGCCGAGGTGGTGAAGTCTCCGCGTGCGCGCGCTCGCACCCCGCTGCAGGGGTTCATTTGCTTTAATTAAACACCATTAACCTCGCGGCACCGTCATGGCTAATGGAGCGACGGGAGAGAGGGCTGTGCTTGGGGTAGCTGTCAGAAACGCCGAGTTTTTGCGCTGGGTAATTAATTCCCTGCCTTCACGCTTGGTTTCCACGAGGAGAAACGTCCGGCTGGGGCACGGCGAGCGAGGTGCCGCTGAGCCCCCGCTCCCCGCGCCCGCGGGCATGCGCCAAGCCCAGCGAGCGGCACATTTCCTCCGGCTGTTTGTTTGAAATTAATGGGAAGTTTGGATTCCCTCCAGCTTTCCCCCGGCTGCACTTGTGCCTCCGAAAGGCTGCTCCGAGCTGGAGAGGAGCGGGAGCAGAGCGGTCTTTTCCCTATGACTACGGCTGTGTGTTTTTTTTTTTTGGGGGGGGTAGGCGAAGGCTCTTCGAGCTCTTTCACAACGTGGAGCGCATCTCCTGTGGGCTCCGTCCCTCCCAACCGCTGCTGACGCAGACCTTCTCCCCCTGCCTTGCGTTGGATGCTTGCCCTGGATGACTGCACTAATTGCTTACGTCGAAAAATAACGAGGAGGATGCGGGTGGTGTATTTTTAGATGGCTCTCGGTGGGATTTAGCAACCGGCGATGCGGAGCTGGCATCTCCAGAGCCGGCTTCCCCATCCCCGCGGTGACGCTTCGTGGCCTTTGGGAGGTCGTGCGCCGAGAGGTGCCTCTGCTTGGGCGAGCACCCCGCTTTTGGGCTCCTCCTGGGCATAATTATCTGCAAAAAGGGGTTCCCTGAGCCGCACGGCATCCAGCTTTGGTTGTGCCGCACGGGATGCTCGTGGGAGGCTGAATCCTGGCGGCGGCGAGTGGCGGCAGTTCCCAAATCCGCTGGAAATAGCACAAAATCGGTGCATTTGGACCCAGAATCTCGGAGTCTGGTTAAGCGTTACCCCAAAGCTTTTTGGAGTTGGGCATGGCCCCAAGCAGTTCCCTCGCTCCTGTTTGCAGCTTCCACGCAGAGCCCTTTGTGTCTCGCTGGCTTCCTGCGCCGAGGGGAGGCTGGAATTCGGCTCGTCCCTCCCAGCGCTGGGTGCAAGGAGCGCAATTATTCTTACAGCCTGACTTAGCTGCCCTTGGAGCTGAAAGCATCCTTTCTTTTCTGTTTATGAAACCCCGAATGGACGATTTCTCCTGCTGCTTACCATCAGCTTCCACACCAAGGGCTGTGGGAAAGTTTCGCAACGATAGGGACTTTAATAGATCTGTTTTATGTCTCAAAACCCATTGCTTTCTAATTCTGTGTCACATGTTTCCTTGATTACGTCTTGCGCAGCGGTGTGGCTACCAAAGTAAGTCCAACGATCCGAAGGAAATCATCAGGAAATATTTTTTTCCCCCAACTTGAGGCCATTCCCTTCTCACCAGGCAGCGTTCGGCCAGGGGGTGCCAGGATGCACGGGCTTCACCCGCCCCGGCCTCGCATCGCATCCTCGTGATGCTTCCCCGTGCAAACAGCCACCACAGACTCCCCCGAGTGGCTCCACACCCGTTTTAAAGGAAAAAAAAAAAAAATAATAATAATCATCCTCGTGTGCTGCTCGTGCTTTGTGTCAGCAAAGCGTTCCTGGCTGTCAGAGCGGGCACATCCCTGCCCCTCGCATCGCGCACCGGCTGTGGCCAGCGCCTCTCCCACACGGCTCTTGTTTTGGGCAGTGCTTTGCCCCAAAAAAGCCGTTTCTTAGGGGCTTTCTGCAAATTTTTGGGATTGTTTCGGTGGTGGGTTTTGTGTAGTTTTTAGAGCTGTGTGCTGTGCCCGGAGGTCTTCCCGCCTGGGGAGAGACCCCGCGGCGACGCGTAGCCTCAGCACTTTTTTGGGTGTTCTTGGTGAGCGAGAGGAAACGAGGCGTGCCTGTGGTCGAGCTGTTGATTTAAGAATAATGCAGCCTCTGACGAAACAGCGAGTAATTCCTCGTGGAAAATAATCCTCATCGATGTGTCATGGCTTTGGAGCACAATGCTGGGCTGGTGCAAACGCTTCTAAGCCAACGTAGCTGGGCACCTCGGCGTGTGCCCAGGGGGCTTCGCTGCTCGCCCCTGAGCATCGGGGTCTCTCCTGGCATCACCGCTGCCCCAAAGCAGCCTTCAAGCAGCAGCCCTGTGCTGACGTCCCTCTGGTGGCTCTCGGTGCTCCCTGGGGTGAAATCCAGCCTCCCACTGGGGCCAGCATCGTGGCGGGAGGTCCCAGAGGTTGGGTACGGGGATGAGTCCCCGCGTGCCGGGAATCCATCGGCCAGCACGTGCTCACCTGCTGGCACAGGTTTTTGGTACAACTCTTGCCGGGGGAGTCCCTGCGGCACCGGGAGAGGTGTGGCAATGACCCGGGGGGCTCAGCGGGGTGAGAGCATCCCCGTGGCTGTCCCTGCTGCTGGGCAGGACGCCGGGGACACGGCACGGGGCTGCGTGCGCTCGTGGTGGTGGTTCGGCGGCGCTGAGCCTGGGTGGCCCCTGGGAAGGGATTTTCCGCTCTGCATGCTTGAGATGTTCTCTAAACTTCCTGCAGGGCCAGCAGAACCAGGGCTCTCCAGCTTTTAACCCTTTCCCCTGCCTCCTGCCCGCTCTCTCCCCAGCTCTGCTGCTCCAGCCCGGGGACGATGACGACCGACGAGGCCACCAAGCCCGAAGGGGAGGTGCAGGCGGCCGCCCTGGCTGAGCGCGGGGAGGACATCACGCCTGCTCAGGACCGTGGTGTGCTGAAGGTGAGCGGGGTCCCGCGGCCACCACAGCCCTCGGGGCACCTCGTGGCACGAGGGGACGAGCATCAGTGCCACGGGGAGTAACGAAGGGGCGAGCGTGGCTCACGGAGCCGGAGAGCGCGGCGCGGATTCGGCCCGCTCGATGAATTTTCGCTGCGATTGTGCTTCTAATCAGATTATTAGCTGCAAATCCACAAAGCATTTTTGTGTGTGACTCACAGACATTAGAAAGAGCACATTACTTAGGTCATCCAGTCTGCTCCACAGCCCCTCTTTTCATATTCAGGGCCGTTTCTGGATAGTTCTGCTCACCAGCACTTGCTCTTCTCCAGCTGAATAGGACCTTCCTCTAATAATAGCATCCTCCCCTGCCTCCATCCTCAGCTTGGGAACTGCTTGTTCCAGGCTGTAGCAATATAAAAAAAAAAAAAAGTGTTGACAAGAAGCGAGTAGTGAAACGACACACCCCTGCGAGTGAAATCTGCACGGGCTGAAAGCAGGGGGAATTTGGGATCGCTCCCCGTTGGTGCTGACACCTCCGCACCGCGGGCTGAGCGTGGCTCCGTGCGGGGCTGGCTCGTAGGGGATGGTGGAAGGGGCAAGGGGATGGTTCCCCCCCCGACCTCCCGATGTCTTAAGGCACCTTTGGGGCGTGTGTTTATGTATAAACATGTGCTGTAATATATAATATAATGTATTTATTTAATATATGGGTGTATATGCAGCCTGGGGTCTCCGTGGCTCCGTTCTCATGGGTGCTTTCCCTCCCTTAGATCATTAAGAGGCCGGGCAACGATGACGAGTCCCCGATGATTGGGGACAAGGTTTACGTGCACTACAAAGGCAAACTGGCCAACGGCAAAAAGTTCGACTCCAGCCGCGATCGGAACGAGCCCTTCGTCTTCAGCCTGGGCAAGGGTAAGGGCACGGGGTCCCCGCTCCCGTGGCGCTAAGGGATGGCACCAGCACGGTGTTGTTTTTTTTTAGGGTGCCTCCCTTATTGGGGTTTTTGTGTTTTGGGTTTTGTGTGTGATGTCTGCCTCTCTCCCAGGCCAGGTGATCAAGGCGTGGGACATCGGGGTGGCTACCATGAAGAAGGGCGAGGTGTGCTACTTGCTGTGCAAGCCGGAATACGCCTACGGGGCCGCCGGCAGCGCCCCCAAAATCCCCTCCAACGCCACCCTCTTCTTCGAGGCAAGTACGGGGCCGGGCTGCCGCGGGACAGCTCGCTCGCTGCCTTCTGCCTTGCCAGCCAGCTCCTAAAAAAAAAAAAAAAAAAAAAGCACAAAACAGCTTGGATTCCTGAAACGTGTCCCTCCGCTCCAGGAACCGGTGCCAGTGTTTTCTCAGAAATGTGTGTCTGAGCCGGAGAGGCTGCGGCCGGGGAGCAGCCCCGCGGGGAGAGCGAGCAGAGCCCTGCTTTAAAAAGGCAGGCGAAAAGGGGAAAACAGCTCGGAAATGCCTCCCTGGGCTGAAAAATCCCTTCCCAGCGCTGCTCCCGCGCTGCCTGGGGAGCCGTCCCCCTCGCACCTTCCAGCCCCGGTTGCCTCCTTGCCTGCAGGATTCCTGAACTCCCTTTTACTGTTATTTTGTGTTGGGCTTCAGGTGCTGGCCGCGGCCCAATTCCTAATAAATCGGGTGTATTATGCTGTGGCTTTGGAGCTGGCTTTTATGGGCAACTTCTGCTCGTCAGCTGAGCGGAGAATTAGTTTGCTTGGCTCCCCGGCTCGGGGCTGAACTGCTGCTTTGTGGCTTCCCCGTTGTTTTTCTCCTCTCCTTCCCCTCCACCCCCAGCTCTGCCTACCTTCCCTTTGAATTCTTCAGGTCGAGCTGCTCGATTTCAAAGGCGAGGACCTGTTTGAGGACGGGGGGATAATCCGGAGGATCAAGAGGAAAGGGGAAGGCTACTCCAACCCCAACGAAGGCGCCACGGTGGAAAGTGAGTAGCGGGCTCCGCGGGCAGAGCCGCACGCCGCCGGGCTCTGGCCGAGCAGGGAGGGCAGCGGTTAACTTTTGGGGTTTTGGTGAGCTCAGAGGAGCTGCCCTTGGCACGGCCCGCGGCTGCCGTTCCAGGGCTGCTGGCTCCGAGGGTTTTACTGGAAAACCTCGAGGCGCGGGAGCAGCCAGCTGGTGATGGAGCGGCCGGGCGAGGACAAACCCGCGCTCTGTTTTTCCCGGTCCTTTCTGCTGTAGGACAAACACGGGCCTGCGAGGCTGCTGGGGAGGGCGAAACCCCGCGGGGTTTTGGGGTCAGACCCTTCCTTTTTGCACATTTACCCCTCCTGCGTCCCTGCCCGAGTGGCTGCACCCAGGACCGGCGTGGGGGATGCTGAAAAACCCCAGGCTCTGCCTCCTGGTGGGAATTTTTCAGCAGTTCCCTGGGCTCCTCGTGATGCTGATTGTTGGGTTGGGGCTTTCTATCACATCTGCCGCGGCACGGAGCACGGAGCCTTGCCTTTTCCTTCCCATGTGGCCAGGGGATGGTTGCAGGCTTCTGGTCACCGCTGACAGAGGGGATGAATTAATGCCAGGGGTTTATGGAGCCAGCTGTGCTCTGAACCCACATCGGGAGCCGGCTGGGTGACGAGGAGCTCATCCCATGCAGCTCCTCGCTCCCTCTCCGAAGCAGGACGCAGTAATTCTGGGCACGTTTCTGGAGCAAACATTTCACCTAGGTGGTGAGAGCCAGTTTTTTTTTTTTTCTCTCTCCTCCGAAGAACAACTCAGCCATAGATTTAGAGCTACCACGCGGTACAGAAGGCATCTGATTTCTTCTCCCCATTTCAGAGCTCCTGTTCGCTAAAGAGGCTCCAATTAACTTCCATTAGCGAAGGAGAAATTGGATCTGAACTCATAAAACTCCCTGCCTGAAACGGCCAGTTCTTCTCCCAGAGTTTTTTAAGGAGATTTTCGTGTCCCACACTGATCTCTCCGCCCGTCACATGCTCGGTGTCGTCGCCGGACGCGGCCGGGAGTAGGGTTTCAGGCTGGCTTCACCGTCTCCAAGGTTAACCGAAGAGACGGGCTAAATATAATTGAAACCGGCCCAATTCCCACCTGCCTTTTTAGTGCTGTTTTTATTTATTTTTTTATTTTTTTTTATCTAAAGAGGCTGCTGGGGGTGAGCACGTGGCAGGCAGCGGCGTGCCCGGGGAGTGCTCCTGCTTTTTCCTTCGTGTTGAGCTGGTGGCAAACGCAACGGGGGCGCGATAATTTGGAGCAGGTTGGAGGCAGGGAGAGGGAAACCACAGCGAGGAATCGCTTCTCCCAAAGGACACTGAGGTGGCTTCTTGGGGAGGGCTCCCCTGAGGAGACCCCTAAATGCATCCCGCTGAGAAAGGAGCAGCACAAAACAACCTGGGAAGCATTTTGGGGTGCAAATAGGCTTTTTTGTCTTTTTTTTTTTTCTCCCACAAACGCAGTGCTATTTACCTCGGAGCTTTGCTCCTGGCACCAAAGGTGGGACCCCGAGGAGCAGCCCTGGGTTTTGTGAGCCCAGCTACCTCTGTGTGGGGCTGCCCCTCGCCTCGCTCCCCCCAGAACCCTGTCTCAGCTCTGGGAGTAGCCCCGAGGTGCCCGGCATCGCCACCGTAACCAGGCTGGCCGAAAATGTGCGATTACCAGGGCGAGCATCCCTGGGCTGGAGTTTTGCAGGCTTTTTTTTTTTTATATATATAGGTTTTGAGTTGTACAGACCATAATTCGCGGTTCCGGTTCCTAAAACGCGGGCTGCAGCCGAAATCCCGCATTCCAGCTTTTGTTACAACCTTTCCCCCCCCCCCCCTCCTCCTCCATCCCCCCCCCCCCTCCTCTTCTCCATTTTAATCTGAGTACAAATTGCTGTCAGCACATCAAGTTCGTGTGCCAGCCGCGCTCGGTACACTGTGTTCTGAGCTCTTCAAAAACAAAATCGCTGCAGGCACCGGGAGAACAATAAGTCAGCGCGGCAGCCGAAGGGATGTGCGGCGGCCCAGCGGGGGCTTTTCTCCCCGTAATCCAAGAGCAGCCGGAGCCAGCTGACCTGCTGCACACAGCGCCCAAACGCTCCTGGAAACCAACGCGGAGATCTCCCCGTTGCTTTCCGTGTGATTAAAATGGAAGGAAAGCTTTTTTTTTTTCTTTTTTTTTCTTTTTTTTTTTTCTCCCCTCCGAGCACGGGCTGGGAGCTCGCATCCTCCCGGGCAGCCTGGTGTAAGCGGGCTCGTGGGGGTGCTGCCGCGTCCCGCTGGTGATGGGGTGACCCTGGGGAGATGTGGGTGGGCGCTGGTTTTGGGGCCAGGCGGTGGGCACGGCTCAGGCTGGGTTGTGCTCACCGGGAAAAAGGCACCTGGATGGCAGGGGGGTGGCGTGGTGCCGCGGGGATGCCTGTTTTGGGCTGGATATCCCGTTTTTTTGCACCTAAGGAGATGAAGCAGGGGTTAGTCCCAGAGGTGGGGTTGCTGGAGGGTTTTCCCGGTGGCAGGTTGCTGAAAGTCGTGGCTGTGCTCCTTGTCCTGAGCTGGCTGAGAGCGCGCAGCCTGTGTGTCCCCTCGCTGCTGTGCACCCCTGAGGGATGCAGGATGCGTCCTGGCATGGAGCGAGCATCCTCTGCCACCCCTGTGCCGTGCCGTGCCGGGAGCCTGGCGTTACGCAGGCAGGTTGCAGAGGACAGGATCCTCGGGTGATGTTATGGGGTGGCCCTGCAGGCACATTTAATACCCGAGTGCTGGAACTGCTTGTGTTCATGCTGGTGCTGGTGCTCACCTCCCCGTGACATCCAGAGCCAGGTAGCTCAGGATCCGTCCCGCAGCCACCAGATCACCTTTGGGTCCCTCGGTGGCTCGCCCTTTGCCGTTTGGGGCATTCCCTGCAAGAGGTTTAAGGGAAACTCGTTCCTTGATCTGCAGCACCGTGCTTGAAGGGCAGAGGCATCACCAAACGCTGCACCACCAAGGTGCAGGATGGAGAGCAGACCATCGCCAGCTGGGCACAGGGTTTTTTGCTTTCCAAGGGTCTCTCCCCATTTTGCCAGCATTTATATGGGCACGAGAAACTCTTCCTGCTTCAGCTCTGCAGCGTGCAAATTTGCTCGTGGCTGTACGGTGTGGCTCTTTCCCACCCTGGGGGCTGCCAACACCAGCCCAAATGGTTGCAGATTTTTAAGCGTTTCTGACAGCGTTACTGCCTGCTGTGATTTCTCTCCTCTTAGAAGCTTTTTTTTGGGGGTTTTCTGTGGTAGGTAGGAGTTTCTTATGAAATCCCTTTTACTTTACATTTGCTTGCACGCTCGCGTGCACTTGGGAGGGCAAAGAACACGCGGTGCCCCCCCAGGCGTGCACCGTCCTGGGGATCAAATCAGTAAAGAACAATCTCGCCGTGGAAATCACGCCAGGAGCACCAGGTGGCGAATGTGCCAGGTACCCGCTGTCCGCTCCGCCTGCGCCTCTGCCAGCTCCCCGGGCTGGAACAGCGCGGCCATTGGTTGAAGATTAAAAAAAAAAAAAAAAAATTAAAAAAAAAAAAATGTTTATCTTGTACTTGCAGTTCTTAGAGGCAGGAGAACACGGCCTTGTTTTTGAGGTATAAGGCAAGGGTATGGCGCTGTATAGGAGGCTTGTAATCGCCGTGATAAACTCCGCGTGGCGGCGTGCCAGGAGCAATATCCAGTTCCAGTAAGGCTGACTCGCGCAGCGGCGCACGAGGGGAACATATTAGTCATTATGTTTATCTGTTGTCTGCTCCTTGCTTAGACAAGATACGGCTGCCTTGCTTCGTTAGCCGTGCTCCTTCCTGAGCCCTCCTGCCCCTCTCTGTCCCCCGGGGGCTCGTTCGGCCGTCAGGCAGTGCCCCCCGTGCTCCAGCATCCTCCCGCTGCTTCCAGGGCTCCAGCTCGACCGGAGGCTTTTGCTGGATTTTGGGGAGCTTGTGGCAGATTTGGTTACCTGGCAGAGTTTCCCCCAACCCTGTTAAAGCAGCTCCCTAGGGCAGCCCGCACCACCGATGGGCAAAATCCTTTGGGAAAGGCTTTTTTTGGGGGGGAGCCGGGGATTCGGGTCCTGCGTGGCACCGGCTGCCCGCAGCCTGGCACGGGGCTCGCTCTGCCCTGCAGTTCACCTGGAGGGCTTCTGCGGCGGCACCCGCTTCGACTGCAAGGACGTGAAGTTCGTGGTGGGCGAAGGGGAGGACCACGACATCCCCATCGGCATCGACAAAGCACTGGAGAAGATGCAGCGGGGAGAGCACTGCGTCCTCTACCTCGGGCCACGGTAAGGGGCGCAGGAGCTCGGCTCGAAGCTTTTCCGACCTCTGCGGCTGCTTTAGCCTCGGTGGAAGGCAGCAAAGCACGGCAGGAGGGCTCCTCCAGGAGAGGTTTGGGTTAGCATCATTGCCAGCAGGGCCAGCCAGAGGGGCGAGTGGCACGGAGGCAGGAATTTGGAGATGGTTTTAAAAGCAGGTGAGGTGGCAGCGGCTGCATCCAGCTCCCGTGGCTGGAAGGAAAGATTCACCAGGGGCTTTTTTCCTGCACAAGTACGGAGAGGTGTAGAAAAAAAACAGAGGTGATGGCACCCGGGTGCATCTGGAGAGGATGGTCCCACGGGTGTAATGCACGTATAAAGCAGCAAATCTTTGCTGCTGAATCACACAAAAATGTTGGTGAGCGTGGAGCTAGATGTGAAAGCAGAGCGAGCACCTTGGGTGCATGTTCATGGCCAAACCCTGCCGAAATGAGGATTTAGGGACTTCTCTCCAAACCCTAACAACCCTAACCCTAATTAGGACCCTAAAAAACACGTAGAAAGCCAGTTTCTCCCATCAAAAAGTGCTCCCAACGGAAACCTTTGGGTACACCTGAACTGCCTTGGGGAACCTTTGCGCAGCCCCACACACAGCAGGGCTCTTTGGGGGCTCTTTAGGGGCTCCTTTTAGGTGGCTTTTCCTCGAGGAGGATATCTGGAGAGGAGGGGGGTGCAGGCAGTGGAGGGCGCATGGGGCTGAGGACCACGTGTACCCATTGTCCGCGGGGTGCCCCCCAGCGCAGCCCCTCTGATCTCTCCCCATTTCTGCCCTTCCAGGTACGGCTTCGGCGAGGCGGGGAAGCCCAAGTACGGCATCCAGGCGAACGCGGAGCTGGTGTACGAGGTCACCCTTAAAAGCTTTGAGAAGGTGAGGGCAGGACCGGCCCCGGGGTGCCCGGGAGCTGCTCCTCTTGCAGCATTCACCCTTTGTCCCTGGCGTGGCTGCGCCGCGGCCCCTGCTGAAGCAGAGACGTCAGCAAAGGATCGCTGTGTTCTTAATTTGTTCTTGTGTGTTGGTTTGTTTTATTTTTCTGGCCGGGGTCCAAGGCTGGTTCTCTTATTTGTTCCTAGGCTTGTTCCTTTTGTACTTTTTTTTTTTTTTCCCTCCTTGGGCTGCACAGAAAAAAAAAAAAAGAAAAAAAAAGTTTTGTGTCCCGGCGGCCAGGGCCGGGGTGAACACTGGGGGGGCTGCACGCAGGGGCTGGGGACAGGGACAGGGACATGGGGACAGCACAGGAGGTGCCACTGGGACGGGACAGGTGCTGCTGGGTCCCCAACCCCAGCTGGAGCAGGGGATGGTGGCAGGACCCTCTGCTTGCCCTCTCTGCTGAGGAGGTCTCTTCCTACCCACTTTCATTTATTTTTTTTTTTAATATTTTGGGGCTTTATTTTATTTTTATGCTGGGATTTTTCATCCTGTGAGGTTGCAGTGGATGAACTGCAGTGGACGGACTGTGCTATAACACTGGGCTCAGGGGAAATCCCACACCCAGCAGCGATTTAACCTGGTGCAAAGGGGTCCCCTGCACTCCGGGCACGCGCCCCATGTGTGCCACGACTATTTTCCTCTTCCCTATCACCCCCAGCCCCTCAAACTCAACGAGCAGCCACTTCTACCCTATGCAACACCACCCTGACAAGCCCCACTCATTAAAAAGAAACCCCAGAAAGCCTCGTGGATCCACCTGGCTTGCAGCACCCCATTCATTTCCCTCCCTTCACTGCTCTCCAAGGGTGTCCGTGCCGGTGGGGCCGGCGTTTGGAGGTGCACGGTGCCTCCATCCTGGCGTGCTGGTGGGTGCTGTGCCCCACGGATTTCGCTCTGAGCGTTTCTTTGCAGGCCAAAGAGTCGTGGGAGATGGACACCAAAGAGAAGCTGGAGCAGGCTGCCATCGTCAAGGAGAAGGGGACGATGTACTTCAAGGTTTGTGAGCGTGGCGACACCCGAACGCGAGCGGGGAGCTCGGAGCAAATCCTGGACATCCCGAGGCACCACTGAGCAGTCCTGAAGGGGTGTAAATTACAGAAATGTGCCCCCCAAAACTTTCCCCGTCCCTCTCCCCATATAAATGATGAGCTCCTTGGGAGGTGCAGCCCCTGCCTGCCCCTTCCCCGTCCTCGGTGATTTTGGGCACAGATCCGCTGCCCTCCCCAGCTCAGGTTCCCTCTTTGCTCCATCCCAGGAGGGGAAATATCTGCAGGCGGTGATCCAGTACGGGAAGATCGTGTCCTGGCTGGAAATGGAGTACGGCTTGTCCGAGAAGGAGTCGAAAGCCTCCGATTCCTTCCTGCTGGCTGCCTTCCTCAACCTGGCCATGTGCTACCTGAAGCTGCGCGAGTACACCAAGGCCGTCGAGTGCTGTGACAAGGTGGGGGTCTGCGGGTTTGCTTTTACTCTTCCCTCCCCCGTGTTGTCCCCCCCCGAATTTATCCATGTACAAGCAGCAGGTTGCAAACAGCGGCGCGTTGTTGGCGTCCCCACCGTGCCTCCTGCGCCCTTTGCGTGCGCCTGTGTCAGGAAATTATTAATTCTTCGATAAAGGGCTTGCGTTTAACGAGCTTGCCTAAGGTTCTTAATCGCGTAAGGCTGGCTGCCTTGAGCAGGGTGGTAAGGCGCCCGTGAGACGTGTGTGGGACATGAAGATTTCATAAAATAACGGGAAGCAGGGAGACAAAAACCCGTTTAATCCGAAGGAGCCCTCAGCCCAGGAGCTCCCCGTGCTCCCTGGCTCCACGTGCAGAGTTTCTGCGTGATTCCAGCTCTGTGGGGGCTTCTCTCCTGCTGACCCTGCCACCCGCAGCAGGTTTTGTGCAAGGAGATATTTTTAATCAGCTAAAATATATCAGTAAAAATTACATAAAAATATAAAAAGTATATAAATTATACATGTATAGCTGCCAACTGGTTATGGAAACGGGTGAATTTTTGCAGAGCAAGATGCTCTGGAGACTCAGAGCCTTCTCCCTTGTCCTAATTTGAGCATTTTTAGTAAGTCTTTGAGCTTAAGGAGGTCTTTGAAAGCCACCCAGTGAGCAAACCTAAACCGGGAGGGCACGGGGCTGCACGAGCAGTGCCCACACAGCACTGGTGCTGCAAAATGAGGGAGCTGCTTCTGGGGAGCATCTTCCCTTGCAAGGAGCTGATGGCATTCGCAGGCAGGGGAAGGTTCTGCACCTCTGCTCATGGTGGCACGAGGCAAAAAAGCCACGTTGGTGCACGTGGGAGCCGTGGCCATGCTGTGGATGTGCCTGCCCCGAGGAGGTGCTGGGCTCTGGCGAACTCTGTCCTTCCAGGCGCTGGGGCTGGACCAGGACAACGAGAAGGGCTTGTACAGGCGGGGCGAGGCCAGGCTGCTGATGAACGAGTTCGAGCTGGCAAAATGTGACTTTCAGAAAGTGCTGGAAGTGAACCCGCAGAACAAGGCCGCCAGGTCGCAGATCTCCGTCTGCCAGAAGAAGACGAAGGAGCACAACGAGCGGGACAGGAGGATATACGCCAACATGTTCACCAAGTTCGCGGAGAGGGACGCGAAGGTTGGTGCTGCGCGAGCGTCCGGGTGCCCTGATTTGGCCACGTTGAGGGATGCTCAGCGGGCTCGTGGGGAGAAAAGGAGGGTTAAAATGGAGGAAATTGGACATGGGGTTGAGGATGCTGAGGTTTGGGAGCACGGCCTCCAGCTGATAGAGCCTGGGTGGGAAGGAGCTGGTTGGGTCTTGGTCAGCAGAGGACGCAGAGGCTGCTGTCAGGCTGTCAGTAAAAGTATTTATGGGGTGGGCTCTCGACAGCTGATGACAGGTTTGGTGTTTGGACATCGCTCTGCCGGCCGTAGCCGCTGGCCGTTGGTGACCTGGCCACCAGCAGTCTGGGTGAAGTGAAATGTCATCCACCCCCTGGCAAGGCCAAGGGTATTTGGAGACATGATAGGATGGATTTCCTGAATCTTGTAACCCAACGCCCCGCTCCTCTGCTCGCACAAGAGATCGCTTTCTCGTAACAGGCTCTAATCCAAAATTCCTCCAAACAAAAACCGATGCACGGTGTCCTGTAACAGGAGAGGACACAGCTTTGCAAACACTCTGTACGGGTAATTTTTAGGATAATCTCTTCTGAACCGGTGCCTGAAGGAGAGGCGGTGAAATAAATGAGTGCTGCGGGCAGGGAGCAGTCCTGCGTACGGGGCTGCGGGCTGTCAGGGGTCTCATTCTGGGGGCTGCATCTTATATATGGCCTGGAGCTATGGCTCTTATATGGGCTGCAGCCATATAGCCCAGTGCAGGGGCTGCAGCTATAGCTGGGGTCCGAGGGGGGTCTCTTCTGCCCCGCTGGGCTCAGCCTCACCTCCGAGCCCTGGCATCGCTGCCACCAGCTGCTCATCGTTTCACCTCATTCCTGACTCTGTGGTTCTTTTGCTCTTTTGCAGGAAGCAGCTAGCAAAACCGGGGTAGAAAAAGAGGCGGAGAAAGCGACTTGTGCACAGGGGCTGGAAACGGCCGGTGCTGGAGGCAAAGAGGCCGAAGGCCACGTATGATGGAGGGGCAGGAGGAAGGGAGAGCCTCCTGCCCTCAGCCCGCACAGAGAACGGTTTTTTGCCAGGACTCAAGGACTCGCCAGTGTTTTCTTGTAAAGCTTGTTACAGTTTGTGTGATCGTGGAAGCAAAAGCGCCTCGCAAAGAAAAACAAACCCAGTCCTGCTGCCACGGCTGGGCGCGAGCAGCGGGACGGCGTGGGACCACCGCAAGCGGAACAAACAGCTTTCCAAAGGAGGGGGGGGAAAATAAATAAAAGTGGAAGCTCTTGGCTCTCGGGAGGTTTGCGCAGACAGCTCCTCGCAGCTCGCTGGACTTGGTGTCGGCTGGCAGTGCCACGGCCTGCGTCCTCCGAGACGAGCTGGGACGTGGGAGCGCTTCGGCAGGATGCGACCGAGTCCTCCGGCAGAGGCAGAGCAGCCTCCTCCTGCGCTGCCTTCATCCTCCTCCTCCTCCTCGCCCTGTGGCTGGGACGGGAGCTGCAACAGGGACCTGGCCCCCTGTGCTCGCTGAGTTTGCTGTCAGGGTGGGCTCAGGCTTCTCCTCTTGGTCCCCTGCACGTGTCCGAGGGTGTTGGAGCACCTCCTGCGTGCCGGCCACCTCCCGTCCCTCGGGGGAGGCGATTCCCCCTCTTGCGGCTGCGGAGGCGTTTCTCATCCGTGGTGACCCCTCTGCTTTAGGGATTTACAGTTCGGCTTCAAAGCACTGTTTCATTGGGGGAATTTATTTTTATTTTAAGAGGCTGTGTTTGATTTCACTGGAGGGTGAAAAAGGGTTTTCCAGCGCTGCTGCTCGCAGGTGCCTGAATCGCGGCCAGCAGTGGGCTCAAATTTTTAAACGGGGGGTTTTATCGCTTAGCTGGGGCCCAGGTGAAAAAGAGAAGCAGCAGGTTGGCACCTCCAGGGTCAGGAAGCGAGATTGGTGTTGTCACTGAGCCGGTACCGTGGGCTCCTCGGTGAGCACCCCGTGCCGGTGCTGCTGCTGCGACCTCGCCCGTCGCCTTCCTCCAGCCTGTTGGGTGCTGTCACCACCTTTGGAGAACAGCCTTCAGTTTGTTTTTTGTTTTTTTTTTATTTTTACTGTCTGTTCTTTGTAATACCCCTTTTGAAGCTTGAAAATAAAGAACTGAAAAGAAAAAAAAAAAGGAAAAAAAAAGGCTCCTCTTTTCTCCATCCTGCTGTGAGCAGCCGTGGGGGTGACGGGTGGGGATGCACCAGCTCCAGTGGTGGCTCCAATCCTTAGGGAATTATCGGTGTCCCCCTTTTTACAGGGGGTGTTGTTTGGGATCTCAGCAGGGCTGCTTCTCCTGGGCAGCTTTATCCTGAGGCCTTTTTCGTTTGGGAGATTCGGGGCTGGAGCTACAGGGTACATCGGTGGCACGCAGGGTGGGTGCTGGGGAGGAAAGGCTGCCACCAGGAGGGCTGGAAGCAGGGGCTCTGCAAAGAACTGGCTTTTATTTATGAAAGCAGCACAAAAAAAAAAAAAAAAAAAAAAAGCCGTTTTGGGTCAGCCCAAGCCATGTTTTCCTTATGAAACACCCCTGGCTTGCTCTGTGGAAACTTGCAACTTGCTTTGCAGTTTCTGGGCTTTTCCCCCCTATTTTTACGCACGTTTTTATTTCAGCTGGCTTCTCGAGGCTTCATACTTTTCTCCTCCTTTTAAGAGAAAATTGCAGGTGGGCAGACAAGGACAGTTTGGAGGTTAGTGGGAGCATTTCATACCCAAGGCATCGAAACCCCTGGTGCTGGCTGCGTGCAGCCCTGAGCGCCGTGCACGAGCTGCGAATAAACCCGAGCAGCGACGCAGAGAGGGGCTGCTGCTCTCTTCAGCAGAAACAGGAGACAATTATTCACCCAGAGCAGCTTTTTAGGCTTTTCAGAGCCTTGCTGCTTGCTCTGCAAGGCGGGGGTCTCGCTGTTTGTCCCTCTCCGTGGCTCAGGGTGCGCCGAGGATGCCCTGTGCTGGGCGCACGGTGTTTAAATGCCATCTAGTGGGCCTGGGCTGGGAAGGGAGGCTGCAGTGGGGTTTGGTGTGTGCATGGCTGGGCAAGGCCAGGCTGAGCCCAGCAGGGATTTGTGCAGCTTTGTTTTGTCCAGCATTCAACCAGAGAGCGCCCGCGGGCAGCCCTGGCAGGGGGAGGTGGGCTGGGGGGCAGCATCGCGCAGGGGCTGGGTCCCCTCACCCAGTGGGACTGGGGTTTGGAGCAGAGATTGACCAGCACAGGGACGCGGCTCGGAGCAGAGCAGGGACCAGCACCACCCTAGGGCATGCAGAGGACCCCCCCGGCATCGCCCCTGCATGGGCTTCCCCCACACGCATCGTGCAACCAACCCAAGTCCCCTCGTTGTGACACCAAGATGCCATTTGGAGGTGGAAAAAAGGGAAGTATCCCTAAAAAGAAGAGGTGGCATCCCTAAAAAGAAGAGGTGGCATCCCCTGGGAAGCTATGGAGCCTGCCCTGCAGGGCCCCCACAGCCAGCACTGGGAGGAACCATGCACCCCAAAAGCCCCCCAGGGTCTCCTTTACGCCCCACTCCCACGGGCTCCCCGTTTTCTGGGATTACCGCGACAGCTGCCGCGCTCTGCCTCTCCCCACGGGGCTGGCCGGCATCCCTGAAATCCTATTACCCAGTGGCAAGAGAAAGAAAAAGTTAATCGCATCCTCCACTCGCTCTTCCCCCACGGCGCCGTGGGGCTGGTGGAACCGGCGTGGGGCTGAGCTCGTGGGGCTGAGCCCATGGAGCTGGCCCCGGGCTGGTAGCAGCTGCGGGGGCTGCGGGGGCTGCTTTTGGGGAGCAGGTCGGGGCCATGCCGCTGCAGACGGAGATCCTACGAGAGGTTTGGGCGGCCGAAAGGTGAGCGGGGCCGGGCAGGATGAGGTCCTCGGGGTGCGATGCGCTCCCCCTGTGCGCTTCGCCTGCTCCGGTTCCTTTTTATCCTATTTAATTGCGGGGTGATATTCTGGTTTAGGTTTTTTGTTGTTGTTCTGAGGGTGGGTGTGAGGATGCTCGTTGGATTGCAGAGGGAAGGAGTTAATTAGGGCGGATTTTGCCAAATTAACCTCGTTGCTGTCAGCCTGGGCAGAGGCAGACCCCGTCCTGTGCTGCCTGGCGGGGAGGGACGAGCTCGCCCTGGTCAGGATGGGGGCAGCTGCTTTGGAAAAGCGGGGTCCCTTTTGACTCAGCACCACCAAAAATTGCCATTTCAACCCGTTCTGATGCAGAAGTGATGGAAAGGTTTCAATGTCACAAAACAAAACGAGTGGAGCTGAGACGTGAGACCCAAAACGCTGGCACACGCGCCCCGCTCCTCCTCCTCCACACCGTGTCCTTTTAAAAAAAGGGAAGTTTTGGGGAAGGAAAAGGCTCAAATATTTATTTTCGGTGGCACTGGATGTATTGGCATGGCCAAAATGGGATGAAGCTGCGAGGAAACAGCAGCATTTTGGGAAGGTTTCATGGGAGGCTCCCCCCCCTCCCCACCTTCCAGCTCTCACCTGTGCAGGATCCGGCCCCAGCAGGAGGCTCTCGCCCCCCCGGGGAAGCTGTGTAGGGTTCATTTCTCCCCCAAACCCCCCCAGAGCTGGGGAAAGCCCTCACCCCTTTCCTTCCTGTGCCCCCACAGCCCCAGCGAGGAGTCGGGGAGCCCCCAGCAGCAGAAGCCAAAGCAGGTGAGGACAAATCCTTCCCCCCCCCCAGGTCCTGGTGCCACGGGCTCTTCCCCAGGACTGAGGATGGGGACGCCCCCAGCCCCACACCAGGATGGGATCTGGTCCTCCCTCATGGTGCCCAGCCCCAACTGGGGGCCGAAATTTGGGACCCCCCACTCCCTCGTGCATCCTTCCAAAGCCCATCTCCATCACTCCACGGGGCCCATGAGGTGGGCTCTTTGTTCCTAATTAGTGCTTTAATTAAGCCTTTCGGCTGAGCTGTCCGCGGTGACTCACTTTCCAGGGGCTGTGACCCCGACAGCCGGTCCCTCTGCTATGGGGGGGGGGGGCTGCATTTCGGCACAGCCCCCGGGGGTCAGCCCCCCGCAGAGGGGGGTCTCGCAGAGATGTAATCAGCCTGCTTTAATTGGCAGCCCCTCCTCAAAGGGCTTCGTTAAGTAACGAAGCAAAGGGCCGGTCTCCTGCGCTGCTTAAGGGATTAAAGGGGTGAAGGAGCTATTCGAGGGCATCAAGCTGAGGATATAAAGACCTGGGGGTTTCCAGCCCCAGCAGGAGCCCCCTGGGGATGCATTTTAGGAGAAGGCAAAGTGTTGGTGCTGGGGGCTGGATCTGGCCCTTTGCAACCCCCCCGTGGTGCTGCTGCACTGGGGGCTCTGCCCAGCTGGCAGCAAAACCTTGGCAAGGGGGGAAAAGCCCTTTTTGGGGTGGGGACCCCGATGCAACCAGCACTGCTGCACCTTCATGGGGCCCGGAGCTGGCCCCTACTCCCCAAATGTCCCCTGCCCGCAGCTCGGTGCTGCGCCACATGCTCTGTATTGGGTAAATCAGCGTTATTTATAGCCCAGGTTAAAGGGGATTAGGTGTGCTGCCCCCAATCCCCCGCTTCCTCCCGCCTCGCTCCTCACTGACCTCGATCCTTGAGGCTCCGGCGTCCCCCAGCCCTCCCCATGGCCTCGAGGCTCCGTACCCACAGCCGGGTTTCCACGGGGACCTTTTGTGTGGGTGAGAGGAGACGGGGGCACGGAGCTGTGCCGCCTGTCCCCGTGTCCCTTGTCCCAGCTGGGGTCCCCCTGGGTGTCCCCTGTCCCCAGGAGATGACGGGGGTGGTGGCTCCCCATAAAAAGCCACCCCACGTCCCCATGGCAATGCCAGCGTCACGTCCCTCGTCCCCTGGGCTGGCACATCCCGGTGTCACCGCTCTCCTGTCTGTCTGCTAACAGCACTTTTGGTTTTCCTCCCTCTGCTTTCCCTCCACGGGGCTGCCCCACGGTAAGGCGCTGTTTGATGGGGTGAGCGCATCCCTGCTCCCCTGCCCGATGTTCGGGCACCCCCTCCCACAAAATGCCCACATTTGGGGCATTTCAGAAAGGGCTCCGGCTGCTGTAGGAGCAGGGATTTCACCCTGGGGTGGTCTCGTCTCGGCAGCACCATCAATGAGGGCAGAAAGTGAAGAAGAAGCGGCAGGAGCCCACACCGGAGCCTGCACCCGAAGCCAAGCCCCGGCGGCTGCGGGTGAAGAAGCCGGGCGAGTCGGGGGGTGCAGAGGAGCCCCCTGCCCCAGCACAGGGTAAATGAGGCAGCCTGGGGGTCCCCCTGCCAGCCCCAGTCCCCCTGAAGCTCGGGGACGTGTGGGGGCTTTGCCATTTGCCCTGGCACACGCCAGGCCCCCCAGGCACGGCGCTCTCCATCACGGGGTCGCTTGAAATGCCCAGGGGTGAAGAAGCTGAGGAAGAAGAAGGAGGAGAAGGGGGAGGAGGAGAGCGACAAGGACCGCTGCCCTAAAGCCACCCGGGAACCCCGAAAGAAGAAGGAGAGCCCGGCACCCCACTCCCGCGTGGCCAAGATCCCAAAGAAAGCCACAAGGTGAGGGGGGGGGGACACGGTGGGCAGCACCCATCCCACCACCCATGGGGCGCGTCTGCAGCGGGCTCTGCACGCCCCTGGGGTGCTTTTTTGTCCCCAAAATCCACTAAAGGCACGGGGAGGAGGATGAGGACCCCAATCCCCAGCCCCACGCGCGCCCCCGCGTCGCGCGTGTGCGCCCCGGGGCCGCAGCCACGAGGGGGCGGTGTGGCCGTGCGCGCCCCCCCCGCCGCCACCCACGGCCGGGACCGTGCCCACGGCAGCCGGTGCTTGGGGGGGGGACGGTCCCTGCCGAAAAAATTGGGGGCTGCGGGGACCTGCTCCCGGTGAAACCGTCCCATCGCCAACGCCGTCGTGTCCCCGCTGGGCAGAGCCGGCCGAGGACTCGGAGGATGAGGATGAGGAGGAGGAAGAGGAGGTGGAGGATAAAGATCCGCCGAAAAAGCTGAAGAAGAAGGTGCCCAAAGAGCCCCCCGCGGGTGAAGGACGGGAGAAGAAGCTGAAGGCGAAGGGTGAGCGACCAGGGGGTGGCTCCATCCCAGCTCCGTTGTCACTTGCTCCAGTCCTGTCCCCATCGCTGTCCCAGGAGGCTCAGGGGGCTGGGGGCTCCGGGCCATCGCCCCCTCCCCATATATTGTCTGCGTTGCTCACCCCTTCTTCCCTGTCCTCTGTCCCCCTCCCCGTCCATCCCTCCAGGAGACAAGAGTGACCCCGATGGCAAAGCCAAACCCTCCAAGAGCACCAAGAAGGAGCCGACGGCCATGTTCCAGGTGAACGGGGAGAAGAAGGAGAAGAAAAGCAAGAAGAAAGGTACCGGTGAGGGGGGTGGGCAGCCCCGCTGCCCCCAGCTGGCACCCGTGGCCAGCAGCACCCACGCCACGTAACGGTGTCCCCGTGTCCCCCAGCCGCCACCGGCAGCGATGAGGAGGACGACTCTGACTCCAGCACCAAACCCATCAGGTCGGAGAAGAAGAAAAACCCCGCGTCCCTCTTCCAGACCGGCGGGGACCCCCCCAAGGAGAAGAAAACCAGAAAGAAAGGTGAGAGTCGGACTCTGAGAGGGAGGTGGTGGGGCTGGAAGGGCTCTCGGGGTCACAGGGCACCCCTGGTTATCGGGGGGTTGTTACCAATGGTGTTGGGGTTCCCTCCGTGCTCCTGCCCCGTTCTGCTCACAGCTCCCCCCAAAGCAGCCGACAGCGAGGAGGAGACCCTGGAGTCACCGCAGAAAAATTCCAACAAGAAGGGCAAAGGGAAGAAATCCAAGAAGGTATGGGGGGAAAAAATAAATAAGAGGTGTGGGAATTTTCCCTGTGGATAGGTTGGGGGAGCTTGGAGCATCCCCTGAGGTGGGCAACGGGTCTGGAGAGCGGTAGGGACATCCGTGCTGTCCCCAAAGCGGTGCCACATCACGGGGGGATGTCGGGATTGAGGAGCTGTTATTTGGGAGAGGAGATGGTGGCACATGGCACGGGCAGGGCTCGAGGGAACGAGCTCGAAGGGCTCCGGTTTGGCCTTGCAACAGAAGGAGGAGAGGCCCCCGTCACCCGTCATCGAGGTGGACAACCTGGAGGAGTTCGTGCTGCGCCCGGCTCCGCAGGGGGTGACCATCAAGTGCCGGGTGACACGGGACAAGAAGGGCATGGACCGGGGGCTGTACCCCACCTATTACCTGCACTTGGATAACGACAAGAAGGTGAGACAGGGCGGGGGGGGGTACGGAGAGCACGGGGCTCTGCACCCACCCTGGGAGCACCCTGGTGATTTGGGGTGGATGCCGGTGCGCGTCCCGCTGCTCCTGGGTGCTCCTAGCCCTGTTCGTTCCTCCTGGGAAACATCCCACGGTGGCCAGGAGCCACGGTGACACTAATGACAGCCCCGGCTGGGACACCGGCGGTGTTTTGGGGCTCGTCTTGGCCGCGGGGACATTGCGCAAGGTCCCCAAACAAGGTTTCGTTTCGCAAAACCTTGCGCAAAGGGCACGGCGGGGCGACGGCGGTGGCACTGCCCCGGCCCCGCCGTCCTCCCAGGTCTTCCTCCTCGCTGGGAGGAAGCGCAAGAAGAGCAAAACCTCCAACTACCTCATCTCCATCGACCCCACGGACCTGTCGCGGGGCGGCGAGAACTTCATCGGGAAGCTGAGGTGAGGCGGGCGCCCCGTTTTGCCGGCACCCCCTTTTTTTTCTCCCCGTGCCGGGAGCGGGTTTGGCGTGCGGGAGGAAGGCTCGGGCTGGCCGAATTTCGGTGTTTGCCGCTGTTGGCTGTGACCTGAGGAGCGTCGGGGGGGGCAGGGAGGGGGAACAGGCTGGGCCGGTTCCTCCCGTGGGGCAGCTCGAGGCGAGCAGAAGCGCCGGCGAGCGCGGCAAGCCCCGGCCCGCTGCACCGCCGAGCCGCCGGCGCCGTGCCGCAGCGCCTCCGAGCCCACCCCCCAATTTTGGGGGACGGGTGCTGTGAAATGGGGACAATGGAGATGAAGGGATCAAGGCTGGGTGCTGGTCGTGTTGCAGCGTCCGTGCTCGGGGCTGGATGGGGGAAGCAGGAGGGGTTGTGGTGGGTTTTGAGGTTGGAGCAATGCGGGGCTGGGCTGGAGGGGTGCGGGGATGCTGTGGGGTGGGTGGTTCGGCCCCCCAGGATCTGAGCACCCCAGCCCTACACGAGCAGTGCACTGAGGAGAGGGTGCCCAGGCCAGAAAGTGGCCAGAGGGAGGGGGGGGAACAAAGGTGGGGAATTATTGGGACCGGCTGTGGTCACGTCCTGTGCCGGCGCTGCAGGTCCAACCTGATGGGGACGAAGTTCACCGTGTTCGACAACGGGGCCAACCCAGGACAGGGCCAACGCCGACTGGTCCAACGTGCGGCAGGAGCTCTCGGCCTGTGGTTTACGTAAGCAGGGACCCCAAGGGGCCCCAAATGGGGCATCCAGGGCGTCATCCCAGTGGGGGCTGTGGACCTGCGGGGTGGGCTGGATCCGGCCCCGAGCCCTCAGGCTGGATGCTGGGGAGGGGCTGCAGCCCGTGGTGGTCGCTGGATTTATGGCCGGGGCTTCTCCTGCAGGAGACGAACGTCCTGGGGTTCAAAGGGCCCCGCAAGATGACGGTCATCATCCCTGGGATGAACTCGGATAACGAGAGGGTGCCCATCCGGCCCCGAAACGTAAGTCGGAGCAGCCAAGGGCCAAACGGGGCTGGGGCCAGACCTCCCCCAAAGGCTGGATTTGTTGGGGATTCTCTTGGGTTTTACCCAGTTTGGGGCACAGAAAGACTTTGAGGCGTTCCTAAAATTGAAGGCGCCTCTCTGGGAGGCAGAGATGAGTGTCAGTGTCCATATATTTTTCTCCGGGCTGTCTCCCCTCTCCCAGCAGGGCCCTGCCATGAGGCAGCGTATTGGGGAGCACCCAGGGATGGGGCATCCCGCTGGGAACACCACGGGGGTGGCAGGGCTCCGGGGTGCTCCGGGGTGCTCCGGGGGTGACACCCTTGCCCCTTTGCCATCTCCCCCTCGCCCTCTCCAGGACAACGACGGGCTCCTCATGAGGTGGCAGAACAAGAACATGGACAACGTGATCGAGCTGCACAACAAGGCGCCGGTGTGGAACGACGAGACCCAGTCCTACGTCCTCAACTTCCACGGCCGCGTCACCCACGCCTCCGTTAAAAACTTCCAGATTGTGCACGGCAGCGACCGTAAGCCGGGGGCGGCTCGGGGGCTGATCTTGGCCGGGGTCCCAGCACCCCTGCAAGCACCCTTTTTTGCTGCATTTTTATTTATTTTATTTTATTTTTTGTCTCGCGGGGCTGCTCCTGGGGGGCCCTGCTTGCGTTTGGCAGCGCCGGGGTGGAGCGCGCAGCCCCGCGCTCCGGCAGAGGGAGCGCGCGTGTCACCTCTTGCTGGGCAGATTAGGGCAGGGACCCATCCTGCAGGGTGCTGAGCCCGGTGCCACGCCACGAGGGCACCCCAAATACCCCCCCCCTCCACCATGCACCCCACATTGCCAATATGTACACCCCTGGGGCACATGGCACCTCGGGGACAGTCCCTTGGGGTGTCCGCGTGCGCAACGACCGATGCAGGACCCGGCCGTGGCTCCGGGGTGGGTTTGCACCCCCAAACCCCACAGCACCCCCAAACCCCACACCCCACGGGATGCAGCCCTATGGTGAGGGTCCTGCCACGGGGCAGAGCTCAGCCCCGGTGCGAGCAGCCGGCCGCGGCCGCTCGTCACCTGTCCAGCACAGTCAGAAGCCATCGGCACCCGGGGTGTTGGGTTACAGGACAGAAAAAACCTGCCGGGGGCCCCCGGTTATTTTTACAGATTTCCTGTCACCCGCGCTCCGGTGACAGCAGCGGCCACGCCACGGGCGTCCCACGGGGGTTTGTGGGCTCCGCGCCCCTCCGCGGGCTCTGGCTACGTGGGGAAGGGGCGCTGGGGGGGGCTGAGGGGTGCCACGTCCCTGCTATACCCTGGTGGATCATACAGTGGGAAAACATTGAGTTTTTTTGGATCAATTGTGCTGCAACAGGGCGCAGGAGCTGGGCACAGGGTGGTTTCGTTGCCACACCGCTCTTTAAATCCCCTTGGAAAAAGGATGGGGGCGCAGGGAGGGGGCGCAGGAGCCTGTCCCCCCCCTCACCCCATGCGCCCTCCCCTCTGTCCCACAGCCGACTACATCGTGATGCAGTTCGGGCGCGTGGCCGACGACGCCTTCACCATGGACTACAACTACCCGCTGTGCGCCCTGCAGGCCTTCGCCATCGCCCTCTCCAGCTTCGACGGGAAAGCTGGCCTGCGAGTAGCCCCCCACGCCGCCCCCCATCCCCCTGTGCCCCCTCGCTCCCCATTTTTCGCTCACCCAATTTCGGCCGCCCGTTCCCCGGCTCGCCCGGGGCCGGCTGCGGGTCCCGGGCAGGAGGCAGAGTCAGGCCCGGGGTATATTTAGCAGATGAGGCTGCCTGTGATCCCGATTTCAGCCCTTTGAGACGTTTCTTGGACTCGAATCCTGGAAACTCATCCCTCTTTTTTTTTTTTTTTTGGTCTGTTTTGTATTTTGTAGCGTGTTCTTTAAACAAGAAGGGGGGGTTGGTGGTGGCCTTTGGTTTGGGGTGGTTCCTCGTCCCCCTGCGGGCGCGTGGCCGGGCTCTGCCCAAGGTCACCCCGTGGCACCCCCAGCGCCCACCACCTCCAGGACCAGGATTTTATTTAACATTTCATTTAAGCACTACGAGTGGGCACAACACTGCTGGGGGGCAAGGAGCCCCCAGCCCAGCCGAGCAGCAGGGGCCAGCCCCCCAGCACCCCTTTGTTTGCTCCTCTGCTGCGCACACCACTGCTCAGTGCCTTTTGGGCACAAACCCCCTGATTTTCACCACTTTCTCCTGCACAAAGTGGCTGTGACGTGCCCAGAAGTGCAGTGCCCCTGCAAGCCGTGGGGGTGCCCATGAGCCCTGTGGGATTTGGGTCCCCAGGGAGCAGCCTGGCCCCCATAGGGTGGGCACGTGCCGGAGGGGCAGCCGGTGCCCCCAGGAGCAGACCTGGAAGGGAAAAGCACGGTCGCAGGCAGAAGCATCGGGTGATTCACGAGGTGTGGGGCAGCTCTGAGCCACGCTGCTGCACTGGGGACCGGTCCCGCAGAGCCCCCGCTCCATCTCCATGTGTCCCCGGAGGTGACAAAGTGGGGGTGCCACCCCGTGACTCGGGCCCCTGGGTTGTAAACGGGTGCTGAGCAAGGGGAGATGCTGGAGAAGGGTGGCGTGGGGGAGCAGGGCAGCTCATGGCCTGTTTTCTAGCTTTGGTGGGTGAGGATCTGGCTGCATGGAGGGTCCTAAATCCCTGATTTCAGTGATAAGAAACACTGGGACACATCAGGGTGTCCCAAAAAGCCATCCTGATGATGCTTCTCTCCCCTGCTCGTCTCACAGACTGCCCCCCAGGGATGCTGATACAAGTCTGGGGTCCCCTTGCCTGGGTGCAGACGGGTCCTCCCCTACCCTGGGGGTTCTCTGAGCCCCCAAAGTGCCACGAAAGGTGACTGGAGCGGCCTGGCAGAGGAGCAGGAAGCAGATGAGACAGCCGTGGTTGTGCAAGAGGGGTGCTCGTCCTCACTGGGCAGTGTCGCAACACCGCCGTGGCCTGAGCCTGTCCCTGCGCTCCCATTGTCCCCATGCTCCCATTGTCCCTGTGCTCCCGTTGTCCCCACGAGCCCATTGTCCCCATGCTCCTGTCCCCACAAGGGGTTGGGGGCAGAAAGTGGCAGCGCTGGACCCGTGCTGGACCCCGCACCTGGTGCGATGCAAACGTGGGTTGGAGAAAACCCCAAATGCGGAGAGCGGTGCAGGATTGTACCCCCCGTGCTGCGTCCCTCCATCGCAGTGACACGGGGACTGGAAGACTCCTTCCCTGGGTGCCACCAAGCAAACCCAGGGTGGGACAGGCTCCCTGCACACCCCTGTCAATGCCAGCACTGTGGGGAGGTGACAAAGGGACCAGGGCAGCAGCCACACCGCTGGCCAACATCTGCCTTGATGGCTTTGCAGAAGGAGCCCATTTTTTCCCAAAAGCCGCACAAATTTGGGCTCCGTGATTCATCCGATGATCGCACGGGGGGCAGATGGGGCCGTCCATGTGCCTGTGCGGGATTTTATCCCTTACCCACATGGCAAGACCCTGGGAGCGAGAGGAGAAACAGCCGCTGGGGTTTAAGGCCAGCGTCTCCTGGCTAGGTATGGCCGGCAAATGTGGGGGAAAGCGAGCGCTTTCTGCCCAAATCCAGCCGGGAACCACACATCTGTTTGAAATTGGGACACGATCGGCTGACGGGGTGAGGGCTGCCTCCACCCGCACTTGTCTCCGTTTCCTGTGCACCGGTGGAAGCCGAAAAGCCAAAGTGCAGCCGGGGAGCGGGGTTCGGCTCGAGGGGCTCCGGGAGGTCTCCAAATCCCAACGCACGCCCACGCCGGGAGCACCGCTCATCCCCTGGGAGCTTCTCCCTTAAAACACCCCTGTTTTTTTTTTTCCATTATGACTTGCACCCCAAAAAAAACTCCCAGCCTGCAGCCCCGCAGAAGCAGCCAAAGGGAGCCCGAAGCTGCAGAGGGTGTGATGCCACCGCGTCCCGACACGAGCACCTTCGGAGGCGATGCGCAAGGAAGGCGCACAGCCTACAGCAATTACAGCGCCAGCCGCCTACCCCAAATCGCTCACACAAATCCTCCTAACCCAAACCAACTGCAGCACAAGGAACAAATGAAAACAATTTAATAGGGCGATGGATATTCGGGCCCTTTTGTTTGCGCTGGCTGTTAACACCAGAGGAGATGAGGAATTGAAGCACAAGAAATGTGTATCTACTTTGGCCGACGGAAAGTGTGACGGATGTGCCGGCAGACCAATGGGTGAGGATGAGGATGTGTGCGTGGGTGTGAAAGGAATGCTCGCTGCAAGAAAAGATCAAAAAAAAAAAAAAAAGCAAAAAAAAAAAAGGGGGGGGAAGAAGAAGGAGCCTTATCAACTTCAGGGGAGGCCAAAGTGTGCATCTTCCTCGGAGAAAGGATTTTCTCAATCCCAGGGGATGAGCTTTACCCTGAGGCGGAGACTTTGAGGCTGCTCAAGCTTCAATTTCGGGGGCTGGAGTTAGGCTGGTGGTGCGGGGCTGGATTTAACCCCATGAAGCACACGAGTTCTTCCCGGGAGCCAGCCCAGGAAATGCATTTTATTTTTTCAGAGTAGGTTATCAGGAAAAGAGGGGGAAAAACGTCCCAATTTCAATGCTGAGCATCCCACCGAGGACACGTCACCATGGTGCCACAGGCAGTGGCCAGGCATTCCCCATCCTGCTCTGATAAACGGAGGGATGCCAGCCCAAAATGTGAGCATCCCAGTGGGACCAGAGGGGAGCCCAACACACGGAAACTCCTCACCCCAAAATTTAAGGGCCGGAGCCCTTGGGTTCCCAGCACGTGCCCTGCCCGGCAGACAGCAGCGCTCAACCTCCGGGGCTTTTGGTCCGTGCTTTGAAGTGGTGATACATTAATTAATTAAAGAAGCAACTGGGACGTGCGTTTTTCTCTCCTCTCCCCCCCTCCTGCAAATTCATTTCCATGATGTTTTTCACGTGGGAAGGCAGGCTCGTGCCTGATAAGCCGAGCTGAGCTGCGGGTTTGCAGGACGGGCTCCTGCTCGGCACAGCGACCGCCGGGCAGCGATGGGGAAGCCAGTATTTTTCAACTGCTTTTAGAAAGGAATCATTTTTTAATTAGTGAATCCATTCTGGAGAAGTGTCGGAGTTTTACAATGTTGTAGCTGTTCTTGGTGTGTTGCCTAGACTTGGATGTTCTGGCCATAAGAAAATATTATTTATGGCATCGCTGCTCGCAGCTCTTTTATATTATAATTCGGGAAAGGAAGTCGCTGTTCCCACCAGTGGACGAAGAATAGCAGAAACCAGGATTATGAACTTCTGAAGGAGGAACAAAAAAAATCCTAATCGGCAGGGCTGAAAAAAAAAACACCCAAAGCCAGAGCGGGGCTGGGATTGCCACGCTCCAGAAGGAGCTCAGCCCAGCATGGCAGGCGCTTGGATCGCCGCCGCCGCGCCGAAGCCCGGTCCCGCAGACGCTTTCTGCACGCACTTGGAGCTCGGCGCAGCGGTAACCCCATTGTTACTCCCCTGCGCAGAGTTCCATGTGTTCCTAAACATTTGCAGATCAGGCTTTTATTCATGGGCTAATGCACGCTTGTTTGCTCATGCCTTACTCAGCCTAAACTCCTATTGAACTCAATTAAGTCTGTCATCTCCAGGAGCAGTCAATGTCATTTTTGCCCAAGTAAGGGATGAGTAACGAGTGCTCAGAACGGCCCTTGGAGAATAGCAGCCATTTTGTTGCAGTTTTTGGTCCAGATTCTTACAGTTAGCACCAGGCCAAGGGTGGAAGAATGCGATACGGCTTTATTAATCATCCCCGATTGCTGAATGTGCTGGATGCTCCGGAGATGGTCGCCTTGCAGGATGCAGCGTTGGCTGTCTCGTCCCGAAACGCTTGACTACAACCCAGTTCGGCACGAAAATTAGAAAAATATGGGTTTTGAAAGGGATGGGATGCAAAGAGCATCCCTTTCCCGAGAGGAGCGCCAGGAGGATCCCGCTCCCCGATTCACCTCCGCGTGCGCCCCACCATGGCACAACCCAACGTGGCCGGGTCCTGGGCACGTGCCAGACCCTCTGCGCCGTGGAGCCGGGGTTTTGTGCCTCTCGCTGCCCAAACTGGGGCCACGGCTCCTGGCAGAAGGGCTGGGTCACGGCCAGGGCCTCGCATGCAATCAGCCGGCTGCGGCTTAGCGCGTTACCACCCATCGGCTCGCTCGTAGGAACTGACCGCGGCCCCGCTGCTGGCTGGGGTCCCTGGGGAAATCACAGCCTGGGCTGAGATTTCACAGCCCGGGTATTGGGGGGAGCCGAGGGGGGGCTCGTGGGGGGCTGCGTGGGGATGTGGAGGGGTTTGGAAGGGGGTGAGGGTGTGGGGATGAGGATGAGGAGGGTGTGAAGGTGTGAGGCAGGGCGTGAGGGTGGTGGAGGTGGGCGGAGGGGGATGAAGGTACGAGGAGGAGGATGATGAAGATGTGCAGGGGATGATGAAGGTGTGAGGAGGGTGATGAAGGTATGAGGAGGGTGATGAAGATGTGCAGAGGGTGATGAAGGTGTGAGGAGGGTGATGAAGATGTGAGGAGGATGATGAAGGTGCTGTGAGGAGGATGATGAAGATGTGAGGAGGGTGATGAAGGTGTGAGGAGGGTGATGAAGGCGTGCACCAGGCCATGCAGGTGTGCAGATGAAGGTGTGCGGGGCGGGATGAAGGCTTGATGGAGGAGGATGAAGGTGACCCCAGGAGGACGAGGAGGTGCAGGGGGATGAAGCTGTGCGGGGTGGGCGACAAAAGCCGTGCCAAAAGCCACCAAGGCGAGCGGGGGACCCCCGGCAGGAGGGCAGGGGGGGGGTAAGGACGGGAGGAAGAGGAGGAGGAGGAGGAAGAGGAGGTGGATGAAGGCTCCTAGAGGGCGCTGCCGGGGCCGGGCTGCCCTTTGCTCACAAATCCCTGCGGAGGGGAACGAGCCCCGATCCCCCCCTCCCAGCCTCCCCTCGGTGCCCCGACCCCCGGCGGGCCTCGGCGCTGCCTCCCCGAGGCCGGAGGCCGGGCAGGGAGGAAGGAGGAGGAGGAGGAGGAGGAGGAGGAGGAGGAGGAGGAGGAGGAGGAGGGCGGAGGGTCGGCCCTGCCCCGCCGCCTCCTGATTGCCTCCCAACTTTTCTGCTCCTCCCTTGCAGAAACTTTCCCGTCCCTGCGCCTGGCTCCGTGCGCGGACTCCGGGGCCAGCAGCGCTCCCGCAGCCCCCGCCGCCCTCCCCCCCCCGGCCCCGAGGAGCCCGGTCCCGAGCCCCGATCTCCCGATCCCGGACCCGGTCCCGGTCCCGGTCCTGATCCTGCTCCCGATCCTGGTCCCGGTCCCGGCACCCGCGGCCGGCCCAGCCCTCCGAAGCACGGAGCAGGTAAGCGCCCCGGGCGGGGGCTCCCAGCCCCCTTCCTCCTCCTCCTCCTCCTCCTCCTCCTCTTCCTCTGGGATCTGGGGGGGGGGCACGGCTCGGCTCGGCTCGGGACGTGGGGCCCCGGCAGCCCCCTCTGCGCCCCCCTCATCCCACCCGGGCCTCAGCCCCCGGGGCTGCTCCGTGCGCCCCCCCTGGCCCTGCCCCTCCTCACCTCCCCCCCGGGGCCCCCACTCAGCTCCGGGCCCCCCCGTTCAGCACCGGGACCCCCCCCAAACACTAAGCAATGCCACCCCAAAACCCTGCGGCCAGCTTTGCCTTGGGTGCCGGGGCTGTCCCCAGGGTGCCCCCACCCCAACCCCTCTCCGCTGCCCCATTTCACGTCCCCACCTCTCCAAAAACTTTCCAGCCCCAAACCCCATCCAGGCCTGGCAGCGCTCAGCACCCCCCTGGCCCCCACTCATCTTTTCCAAGCGGGGAGCCGCGATTCTACGCTTCTAAAATAATATATTCATTTATTATTATATTTATATATTTTATTTTTTTTTGGTAATCCCCCTTTGCGCCGCGCATCTCCGGGGCGCGGGCTATAGGGTTACAAAGAGGCCTTGTGCGCGCTGCGGCCCCGTACGTTATATAAAGGGCGGCCGGCGTCGAGGCCACGATGCCCACCCCGAGCCCCCGGGCAGCTCGGTGGGGTCGCGGGGCCACCGCCGTGTCACGCTCCATGTGTGTCACACGCATGGAGGGGATGAGCAGGCGC